ACAGAAGATATGCTCACATCCTGTGGTGTGAGGCATAGTGGGACAATCTCCACATAGAGATCATTCTTTGCCACTAGTGGTTAATGTATTGTCACTACTGGGAGCACCAGTAAGAGGGATACACCATGAAGATAACTTGGCTTTCAACTTCTGGACATTGGTAAATGGTAGAGAAAAATCAGAAATTCAGAAAAACCATGCCAGAGAATAGCATCTCTGAATTCCTACATGTTGTGGGAGGGACCCAGTGGGAGGTAATTGAATTATGGGGGCAAGTCTTTCCCATGTTATTCTCATTATAGTGAATAAGTCTCATGAGATCTAATGGTTTTATAAAGAGGAATTTCCCTGTACAAGCTCTCTCTGTTTGCTTGCTGCCATCTATGTAAGATGTGGCTTGCTCTTCCTTGCCTTCTGCCATAATTGTGAGGTCTCCCCAGCCATGTGGAACTGTAAGTCCATTAAACCACTTTTTTGTGGTGTAAATTTCCCAGTCTTGGTTGTGTCTTTATCAGTAGCATGAAAATTGACTAATACAGTAAATTGGTACCAGTAGAGTGAAGTGCTGCTGTAAAGATAACCAAAAATGTTGAAGGGACTTTGGAACTGGGCAGCAGGCAGAGGTTGGAACAGTTTAGAGGGCTCAGAAGATAGGAAGATGTGGAAAAGTTTGGAACTCCCTAGAGACTTGTTGAATGGCTTTGACTAAAATGCTGATAATGATATGGACAATGAAATCCAGGCTGAGGTGGTCTCAGATGAAGATGATGAACTGTTTGGGGACTGGAGCAAAGGTGACTTTTGTTATGTTTTGGCAAAGAGACTGGCAGCATTTTTTCCCTGCCCTAGAAATCTGTGGAACTTTGAACTTGAAAGACATGATTTAAGGTATCTGGCAGAAGAAATTTCTAAGAAGCAAAGCATTCAAGAGGTGACTTGAGTGCTGTTAAGGGCATTCAGTTTTAAAAGGGAAACAGGGCATAAAAGTTTGGAAAATTTGCATCCTGACAATATGATAGAAAACAAAAAATCCCACTTTTTTTTTAGGAGAAATTCTAGCCAGCTGCAGAAATTTGCATAAGTAACAAGGAGCTGAATGTTAGGTGTCCAGGGCATGTTAGAGACCTTTGTGGTAGCACCTTTCATCACAGGCCTGGAGGTTCAGGAGGAAAGAATGGTTTCATGGGCTGGGCCGAGGGCCTCTCTCCTGTGTACAGTCTAGGGATTTGGTACTGTGTGTCCCAGTTGCTCTAGCCATGACTAAAAGGGGCCAAGGTACAGTTTGGGTTGTTGCTTCAGAGGGTGGAAACCCGAAGCCTTGGAAGCTTCCATGTGGTGTTGAGACTGAAAGTACATGGAAGTCAAGAATTGAGGTTTGGGAACCTCCACCTAGATTTCAGAGGATGTATGGAAATGCCTGGATTCCCAGGCAGAATTTTACTGCAGGGGTGGGGCTCTTAGGGAGAGTTGCCTTCCGCCATGATTGTGAGGCCTCCCCAGACATGTGGAACTGTAAGTCAATTAAACCTTTATTTTATTATTATTTTTCTTTTTTTTTTGCCAAGTCTCAGGTATGTTTTTATCAATAGTGTGAAAATGGACTAATACAGATGCCATGTTACAGGGTTTGAATGCCTGTGGATCAGGCATTCTCTAAGCCTCAGGCTGGTGGCAGCAACTGAGTCACAGCAAGCAGGAAAGGCAAATGCACATCCTAAGTAGGTGTCTAACCCTTTGAGAATGAACCGCTGCCCCTCTCAGGATGGAAAGAGCCCAGTGCTGTTTATTTCCACCATGTGGTCAGTTGGTCCCTTGAGGAATAGTGCCACACTGGGATGTCTGGAGCTGTTATAGACTGAATTGTGCCTCTCCAAAATTCATATTTAGAAACCCTAACTCTCAATGTGACTGTATTTAGAGATAGGGATTTTCAGAATATAATTAAGTTTTAATAAAATCTTAAGGTAAGGCCCTAATATGAGAGGACTGTTGTCCTCATATGCGGAGGAAGAGACATCAGAGTTCTGTTTCTCTCCCTGTACATCCCACAAAAGAAAAGCCACGTGAGAACACAGTGAGAAGGTGCAGTGTGCAAGTGAATGAGGGAGGCCACACCAGAAACCAACCCTGTGGCACCTTAATCTTGGACTTCCAGGCTCCAGAACTGTGAGAAAATAAATTTGTGTTGTTTAAACCACCCAGTCTGTAGTATTTTGTTATGCAGCCCTAGCAGACGAATATAGTGGCTGACTGGATAGAAATTCAAAGATGTAGTAGCTGAATGTGTGTATCAATTATGCTCTCTCCAGAGGAGGCTCTGAGTGAGTGACTGTCACACCTTATTATTTTATTAATCAATTGGCAGACAATATTTTAAAGTTGGAATTGTTTTAAATATAAGAATTAACTACAAAATTTTAATAAAATGCCTTCTCCATTCAAATCACTTTTTTGTTTTAAATTTTCTTAAATTGAGATAAAATTAATATAACAAAGTTCAACACATTAACAATATTAAAGTGTAAAATCAGTGCTTTTTGGTGTATTCACAATATTTTGCAATCATCACCACCAAATAATTCCAGAGTGATATATACACCCCCCAAAAAACCCTACTCTTATAGAGCACCTGAATATTTCAGTTACGAGTGCTAGGGAAGAGATAACTAATACTATATGTCAGCCCTTAGAGCTTTCAACAATCTGTGAAAAATTCAAATAACATGTATTTCTGCAAGAAGGTATATTTTGCCTTCAGTTTCAAAAGGCATGTTATTGAAATTGCTAAAAATAGAAAGTAGAATTGCCTTAAACATCTTTTTATAGTCCATTCATTAAATCTTTAGCATGAATAAAAGTGAATTTGACATTTTTAAAATCTCAAAATAAATCCATAAAAAAATCATTTCCCACTTATTTGGAGTTGACATCTCTGAACCACTGCATACATTTATAAGCAATGTGGCATATTTTTATTGTGTATCTGCTGTGTTTTACCCAACTAGGTGGTCAGGATAAAACAATCAAAAAGACAGGTGCTCATTCATGCTCATCCTACTCTTAAGGAAATTACAGAGTAATGTGTTCCTTATCAGACCTTCACTTAAGATGTTAAGATCAAAGAGATTTTACATCTTTTGATGCAGCTTTGGAGGCCTGTGTATCTGTTTTACCTCTATTACCATTTATATGGTCAAGTAGAGCATAATGACAGGAAACACTGGGCAGAGTATCTGTCATTTTATTCAGTTGATACACACTGTGAAGATAAATGTTTCTAATAAGGTAAGCAAAAATGAGCATTGTCATACAGTGCATAGCCAGCTGTAAGTAAAAACATTAAATGCAAATGAAGGAAACCCAATCCAAATCAAATTTATGAGCTATAGAAATGGGACCTGGATATGTTTTAAAAATTGTTTTATATGTATTAATATTTTCTTAAATTATATGTTACAGTCTACGAGTGTCCAATCTTTTGGCTTCCCTGGGCCACACTGGAGGAAGAATTGTCTTGGACCACACTAAAATACACTAACATTAACAGCAGCTGATGACCTTTAGAAAATGGCAAAAAAAAAAAAAACCCTCATAATGTTTTAAGAAAGTTTATGAATTTGTATTGGGTCACATTCAAATTTGTTCTGGGCCACATGCAACTCACAGCCTAGGGGTTGGACAAGCTTCTTATAGACCATTTCTATAATGTGTTCTATAAAATAATAATTTCCAGTGATGAAATTATTTTTTTCATTATTTACCAAAGATATTTTAATCTTTTAAGGTGTTTAAGGTATCTACTATTTTTGCAGTGAACAAAATTATTTTGTTGAAAAGTGGTCTACAGTGTGTGGGTGTGTGTCTTTATATATGTGTGTGTGTGTGTGCATGTGGGTGTGTGTCTGTGTGCACACTGTTTGGTATAATCCTTATATTTCTTTCTACCTCATCTAGTTCTTTATTTACACTACATATATTCTAGAGTTTATGCTAAATTACTCTTCTATATTAAATTAAAAATTCTCATGAGGAAATGTCTCTTCATTCCTTTGGAAGTTAAATTTAATATAGTCATAGTAAAGTTTATTCTCAAGACTTTTAGCTATATATAATAAATATGTCTAAGTAAGAACATGCATTATTTTTATATCATCAAACTCAAGGACAGTATCACTGGAGTAACTTTATAGCATTTTATAAAATTAAATACATATAATTCTTTTGTTGCAGTTGCCTAGGAACACATTACATTTGAAAATGCTTCCAAGAATCCCAGTAAGGTGGAAGGAGTAGATTGGAGCCAAGCAGAAGATTTTACTTTATAAATACAGTTTACACTGAACTCCTTTCAAAGAATACAACTGGAGTTGTGATGATAAGTTTGCTTCTGAGTTAGATAGAAAATGTCTACCTCTTAATTAGTCATATTTGTTAAAATATAAAAAATTGTCGTATCTTCTCTCATGGGATTTGATCACTAGACTACATAGTTAATGATGTGTAATTTATGAAGGTGTAACTACTCCCTTCGTAACGCGAGGAAACATTTTAGTCACCTTATTCCTCCTAATAATTTAGCTTCAATTTTGAATGTGTTTCCAGTTTATGAATCACAAAAGGGTTATGAATAAAATAATCCTTGTGATGTCATTTTGCTTTCTGAGTAAGGAAATATTTGGGTCTGGAAACAGCAAAGCAAAATAATACCCAGTGTTAGGGAAGGCACGAAGAAGGCAAGTTGTGCTGTTCAAAAGTGGGCTGCTTTGGCTTTTTGCAAAATATAAATGTGTTCTTTTCTCTCTTGATTATTGCTTTTTGCCATGGGTCTAAGCTTATTATTTTATTATAATTCACTAAACACCACTTCAATTGGTTTATATGTTCTATAAAGTACCCTATTAACTAGTACTCCAATTACAGGTATAAAACACAATCTGAATGTGACCTTAATGTAATTCAAGAATTGCATAATCATGTAATTAGAGTTCTGATTGGTTTTATTCTTATGTGAATGAAGCAGAAATGGTTTACTTGAAATAGCTGAGTTTTACATTCCCAAGTTAGGACTGCAGGGGGTGTCCTGAGGCTGGTGTGTGTACCTATCTCTTCACAGTGATGGCCATATCAGTTGCCACATTCACTCTGTGATACAGCTACCTCTGCAAAAGTAGGGCAGCATTTTCACAGGGAAGGGCATCTTTCTCTCGTTTCAAAGGAACATATTTACTACTTACAACTTTATATGAAAAGTGGGTCTTTTCCTTTAGTTTAAGAAGTGACAAATATAACCTCCAAAAGCACTGAAAAAGAAAGAAAGGAATGACAATTGTGTTACTGTTTTTTGCAGTATTAGCAAAACCCAACATTTTTTATATAATAAATTACTGAATTTTTAGTGCTGTACCTTCATAATAAAATTACATTTACTACACAATAATTTATAAATTGAAGTACATGTTATCAAGTCAGAAGATAGCTTCTTATCATATATTTCCAGAAATATTATCTGTGAAAGACCTTATTTCCAGAACAGGGCCATTAATCCAAAATATCTGAATAGTTGTCTTAGAAATGATTCACGAGTTACAAAAAAGAAACCAAAAGCAATTAAAAACATTTTATATCTTGGCAGGTGAACAGGGCCAAAATGGAACTGAAAAATTAAAATTAACCCAATGGTGGTTGAGATTTTGCTTTCCATTTCATCCTCAATCCATCCACTTTCTCTGAATACACCAGCTCACACACACTTAACCATTTTTGAAAGATAATATAGAAATATTTATTTTTGCAAATAATATGAGCCGAGTCCACAAAATGCCAGACTTACCATAGGCCTTACATGCTTGTACTTTAGACATGTCTCCATATCTAAGAATTGTTTTACACTGTTGCTTAGCAACAATCTGGTCATTTAATTCAAAAGCTATTTCTAAACTACAAAGCCTTTTGTGTAAAAGAAATCAAATAATCTGATGTTTTGTGTGTATAGAAAAAATGCAGGCAAGGTCTTCTGTTTTTCATAAAGGGACTATAGTATTAAATCTGGAAAATAACACTCTGATGGAAATGTTTGTTATAATTTTTAAGTCTTTTTATTTAAAATATTGAAAATAATGAAGTCAAGTGTCCTTTGCTCTGCTTATTCAGTTGCTGGTTAATGTGACATCCAATTTATATCCTAAGTTAAATGTGTCTGGGAGCTAATCTTTTGAGGAAAGCTGGTTGAAAAGGTGGTCCTTTGAGTTTTGTTTCTTTTGTTTTGCCTAAAGAAGAAAAGATTAAGGAGATACTTAATATTTAAAACACATAAACATGTATTTAACCATTGTACTTATGCATCTATTATAGAAACTTGTTACATTCTACCTGGTATTAGAGTTTTCTACATATTTTTTCTCTCACACTATTGATTGTATTATTTATAATCAGGTATCCTTTCTTATTTCAGTTTTCTATAATCTATTATTATCTTGTATGAAACAGGCTCTTCATAAATATATATCAAGTTTAATATATTAATAATAGTTATAACAATAATAACAATGCCATTTTTGACCAGTTATCTATGTGCCATGCATTTCATTAATGATCTATTTTAATGGTAAGAACAATTATGGCTATTTTTTCTGTTTCTATGAAGTACAGAGAAGAAGGAAATCTTAAATTATAGCTACTGTAAAGGTTGGGAAACACTAAAATAGGTGACCAAGAACTTGCATTCTCCCATATTATGATAATAAGGTAAAGTTAAATGCTTATATTTTTGGATACTAATGGGTTTCAATAATTGTTTTTTACAAACTTAGATCTTAGGCCACATCAGGAATAATAATTTATATCATAGTGCAGTGGATATTTGTTGATTTGACCTGTGTCAAATTTTGTATCACTATTTTTGGTGTTTTCTTTTTAACCTAAGAAGTCTTCTCTCCATTCTCATTTTGTGTGGTTTCAGTGCGACAACCCCAGCCCCCAACTAGAGAAAGAGGAACATAAGCCAGGCCTTGTCTATGACAGTGGCCTTCCCTTTGGCTATGGCAATCAAGTTAGCACTGTATGGTACATGCCCCCACAAAGGAAACCATTGGTAGCTCTATTGTAACTGGGGAAAAAGGTGCAATCTTTTTATTGGGATTGCTAAGCTGGTTAAACTAAAGTCTAGAGCTACTTTCTGTCACTATTTCTTCAGCAATGTCTTTCTGAAAATGAATCTAGGGCAGAAAAAACATTGCCAAGGCAAACGTCACAGAATAATTGTTGCAGTTTTGAAAGGAAAATAAAAACATGGGAAATAATTCACTATGCCTAAAGGAAAAAATTAAGCTAAAAACTGAGTCACACAAGAAACTGCTTTTCCTTTTGTTGCTAAGCAGATAGCTCCAGGTTAAAGGTTAAATCTCTCCACAGGTAACTACTTTATGTTTGCCATATCTTATGTAAAGTGCCAGTTTACTGAGGAAGAGAGGTATATATAATTGACTATTCCCCTGCCTTTTCCCTTTCTATGGCACTTGTGGATTACCATACACTCCCTCCTTCCCCTCCAGCCCACTTTTCCCCTTTAAATATTGAAGTTCTCAAATTCATCTTTGGAGGAAGTCACAGACCACAGACTGTTTCTGTGATTTTGTGTTCTTTTCTTCCAGGCATGTCTTTAACCTTGGCAAAATAAACTTCTAAATTGATTGAGTCACAGACCACAGACTGTTTCTGTGATTTTGTGTTCTTTTCTTCCAGGGATGTCTTTAACCTTGGCAAAATAAACTTCTAAATTGATTGATTCCTGTCTCAGATGCTTTTTGGTTTACACTGTCAATATTCACCAATAGATGTTAAAATCATTGAGTGAAAGTTTGAGGAGAAAAATGATATTAACATAGTCTCAAAGTGTCTTCCTGTAGTTATTTATTAATTACAAAGGGGAAAATGTTAATTTTACAATGGAAAAACCTGGTAGAGAAACCTTAACCAAGTAATCAAGGTTAATATTGACAGAAATAACATATATTGGCACTGTGTTCCCCCAATAATACGTACGTAGAGGGGAAAAATAATTACTTCTGTAATTTGTGCCAAAAGGAAAAAACCTCAATCTAATCATAAAGAAACATCAGACAAAGTCAAATTGAGGCACATCTACAGTATAATGGACCAGTACTTATAAAAAGTACCAAGATAATGAAAGGTGAGCAAAGACCATGGAATTGTCACAAATAGAAAGAAACTAAAAAGACACAACATTAAATGCAATGTGGCAGCTTTGATTGAATCTTAGAAAAGAAAAAAAAGACTTTTGGGAAAAAAACTACCTGATGAAATTCAAATAAGATCTGTAGTTTAATAGTACTATAGTAACAATGTTAATTTCCTGGTTTTAAAATTACGGCTATCTAAATTTTTAACAGTAGAGAAAACTGAGGAAAGAATATATGTGAACTCTTTGTAATATATTCCTGATATGGTTTGGCTGTGTCCCCACCCAAATCTCACCTTGAATTGTAATAATCCCCACATGTCAAAGGTGGGGCCAGTTGGAGATAATTGAATCATGGGGGTAGATTCCCCCATACTGTTCTCCTGGTAATGAATAAATCTCATGAAATCTGATGGTTTTATAAATGGGAGTTCCCTTGCACACACTCTTTTCTCTGCCACCGTGTAAGACGTGACCTTGCTCCTCCTTTGTCTTCCAACTTGATTGTGAGGCCTCCTTAGACATCTGGACCTGTAAGTCCATTAAACCTCTTTTTCTTTATAAACCACCCAGTCTCGGGTATGTTCTTATTAGCAATGTGAGAACGGACTAATAATTCCCAACATCCCTGTAACTTCTAAATGTATTTTAAAATAAAAAGTTAAAGAAATCGAGTCAAGAGATTAACAAAAATAGACTCCTGGTAATTCTATCTACCTCTGTCCAGCCATATTTGAATAGAAACCTACCACTATACTTTTCAGGTACATGGGTCAAAAATTATTTAATCATTTTATTTGAGTTTCTTCTCATTTCTATGCAAAAGAGATATGACTAATATATATTTCTTTTTTCCTCTGGTGAATTTACTATGGCCTGTGTAGAAAATACCTCGTTACCAATGAGGTGCTTCACATAAGGGAATTTTCCAGATAATTCTATACTCAAGGCAATAATTTCTTCAGTTTAATAATCTTGCATGGAGCCTTTTCTATAATGTACTTTTCACTTTCCTGGCTTTGCTATGGAGTACACAGAAGATGATTTTTTATTCACTCGATGACTTTGAGTCATCACCCTGAACATAAATCATCTTGTGTAATAATAGCATGTGATGGCATCATGATCGATTGAGGTGTGGAAGTGTATGTTTCTATTCTACATTAATTGGCCTCTGCTAAGATTTTTTGTCTATATTCATAATTTTTGTGAATATTTCTCAACTTATATGGTTTTATACACATTTTTCTGCTCTTAAACTATATTTAGCAGTTCTTCTCCCTGTAGAACTTGCTGCTACATATCTGCCTTAGAAAACACAATATTAATAAAATCACATCTAAAATAATAGTTGTGCTCTGGATGAAGATCTCTCATGTAATCAAAGTTCCTGTATTTTGTGCTATTGATTTTAACTAAATAGATTGGTGGGTTTCCTTTTCTTCATACTAATAAGTGTGGACTATGATCTAGAAGGGTGAATTTGGTGACTATATGACCTTGGAATATGAGAGTATGGCTGTATTAGAAATTAAAGTTTGTAGCTTATATTATTGTTAACATTTTTTTAGCATTTGTTTTCTCAATAAGTCATCAGTATCCTGTTCACTATGATACCTTTTCCAAAATGACCTATGAAAAATGAACATCACATATAACAAGAACTAAAAGTAATTCCCTTGGGCAGATTAAATGTTTCTCCATGTGCCAGGGCCTGTGATTACTTTGATTACTTCTTCCTGCTTACAGAACTATTCATGATATGTCTGTTATGACAGGTCTTTTGTCCTTCCTGATGTGAATTTAGAGGCTTTTCTTTTCCTTTCTTTTTGTATAAATTTGTCCATTCCCTACAGCCAACTTAAATGCCTATCCCTTTTTATCTCGATCTCCTTCGAAATTTGTCCCTTGCACATGTACTGAACTTGTAATTAATCTGAGCTGATTGCACTTTTCTTCACTGCCCATATGCATCTATTATTATCCATTCTTCTTTTTTTTCCTTCCTTCAAGTCAGCACCAGCTATACTGTGCTGTCATTTCCTTGGCTTGGAATCAATTCTCTTTTGCTGCCAAGTGCCATAGATCCTATAAAGTGCTTCT